AAGTAATCTGTGTCAGTTAGATGAACAGATTAGATGAAATCATGCTTTAATTACAGTAGGCATCTACAGAAGATCCTAAAAGTGTCTAAGGATGCATCTTTATAAAGTAATTGATATGAGGGAGAGGTGAAGGTTGACAGCTGGAGGCTGTACTGCTGCAGTGGGTGTCACCTGTCACTGAGAAAGAGAGGAAGAGTCAAGTGGGATGAGAGTAATGGGGGAGAACTAGAGAGAACAGTAGGAAATGAAAGCAGATGGAATTATGCTGCCCTGTATTAAGAACAAGCAATTGAATCTGGTGGGCAAAAAAGTCTTCAATGGATTTTTTTTTTTAAAGTTTTAAAATGTTTTTAGAAAATAGATTTTTCGTAATTATTACAAAGATCCATTTCTGATTTTTCTTTGCGTCTGCTATAAAGGCAAAAGAATGTATTTTATTTGCATTGGGTCTAAGCTAGTGGTGGTACAGTAGTACCACTCCACTCAAATTGACCGTGTATTTTAAGCATTTCCAGCCACTGATTCCTTTTGAAACAGGAGAGAGAACTTTTACCACTAGCTCCAGATGCAGATTATTCGGCGCTCACAAGGCCTGACAGCTCTCCCAAAGCCCAGAGTCCCAACAACAGTCACTGTCCGTCACATCGGACTGCAGGTAATTATGTGTAACTTAAATATACTGAAGCTGAGATAGTAAATTTTTTTAGTATTAAAATAATCAGCAAAATACACCTCTCATCTGGAAAATTTTTTAGAGCTGCTTTTACTTAGGCAAATGCATCTTGCTGTTCAGGCTTGGTTTGTTGTACGTTTGACCCAGGTTTAGTGTGTGTCGTATTACTTGTCTCATCCTGTCCCAAGTTATGAAAGTTCTACACTACACTTGGTTTTGTATTGTAACAACTTAACTTTGAAAAATTCTGTGTTGTCACAGTTGCACATTCACTTATTTCTCATTTCCTGTTAGTCTCCCAAGCCCTGTAGCCAAAGAATGTTTTTTTTGTTTTTTCCTTATTCTGATAATAGTGTGGAACAGCAGTAAAATACTGAATTATTTTTTGTCTAAGATGAACCACAGTAACATGAAAGACGGGAATTGACAGAACTTAACTGTGTTAGGGACTTATTAGGTCTTTGATATGTTTTGAGGCATCAAGATGCCTCAAGTATTTGTCTCAGCAGACCTGCTGACCATGACTGGATTTCATAGGTCTGAATTGCTGCCTGTTTTAAAAGATGCCTCATCACTCGCAATGCCATTCTCCTAGTGCCATTTACAAAAGTGGTCAACTTCAGCATTTTAGGAGAAGTACATTGAAATGCATGACTTACTGCTCATTGTTAACAGTGAGAAATGTTGAGACTTTCCTTCACAGGGATGCTGCTGGAGTTTGCAGCTACATCTGGAAGTTTGCAAAAATCCTTTTTAAAAAGAAAGCAGAACTTCATCCGGGAATCTCTGAAAAGAGTAGAAGAAATAAAGAATAGAGAGAGAGAAAATGAAAAGCCGGAAGCCAGAAAGCTTCGAGGAGGAAAGTCTGAGGAGTTAAGAAGCAGACAAAAGGAGTTTTGTCTTCTCTCTGGTAGGTTTATCTGGCGACAAGACACACCATTAGGTACCCTTTTAATTGCTGTTTTATATCAAAGAACAGAGTTTATATTTGTTACGTGTTTGCTATTGCAAACTGGGATATTCTTTGTTTTCTTGGGGATGCAGGGAGCTTCCCCCCCTCCACTGCCCTGCTGCCTCTTCAGTTCAGTGTTGTAAAGGCTTTTATGGGTGCTCTTTCACAATCAGCCCACGTTTGTTGTTATAGGTATCTTTGCAAACAATGGCTGTTTATCAAAGAACAACCACATTACTTGAACTGGTGCATCTCTAATGCCTGTTACTGGAGACTTGGAGGTCGGCTGTTAAGAGCCATGGCTGGCTCAAAGCACAGGCAGCAGCCTAACGAGTGAGACTGTGAGGATTTATTTTAACACAAGACATCATCTCCATTGTGTCCATTCTGCTAGCTTGTTTCTTTTTTTGTCACGTCATTTAAAAATCTTTGAAAACCTGTCATGCTTTTGAGTTAGCTAAACTAGAGAATTAAATTTAAGATATGTTTGGCTTTTTTCTTTTTTTCTCCCTAGGAAAAAATGGTGCAGTTGCCAGTCAGTTGAAAAAAGTAGGAGAAGTGAGAGTATCTTCTCCAGAGGACAGGAAGGCTGGAGAAATTGAAATGCACCAGCGTACATCCAGGTAATGCATGAATACAAGTGGGAGAAGTTTGAATTAAAACCAACAGAAGTAGTTAATCTGTGTCTTATGAAAGCTGCTGGTCAGACAAAACAGTTTGTGATCTTCCAGTTGAACGCAGTGCTGCTTAACACAGAACAGTTGGGAGAGAGGAGCCAAGAGTGTTTGATCCAGGTACCTGCTGGGAAAGGCCCTTGCATGGGTGGCAGTGAGGAACACAAGGTCAGCCTGCTGGTTTCACCAGGCTGAGGCTGCTGTGCCACTTAATGCCTGACACTAGATAAAATTTGAAGCAAAGTTCACCGTTTCACTCGGGCACTTATGAGCAGTAACATGAACAAAGTGCAGCTCCTGAACGTGGAGGGGGTTTGTTTGATACAGCTGAAGAATTTTAAGTGATTCTAGATTACTGGAGAGATGTGTCAAATTTTCCTAATTGCTAGCAAGTGAGCCAGTGTAAACGCTTAAGCTTGATAAACTTACTCCAGCTTTGCCACTTCCTTTCTGCCAGGGCTCAATTTTCTTCCTACTGTTCCCACAGACTTTATAATCAACTTGAAGAAGTAAAAATCAGAAAGGAAGAAAAAACAAGGCAAGAAACTTATGCTAAAAACAGAGAAAAAGCTAAAGAGTTTCAAAAGGTAATAGTTTGTTACACTGTCCTCTTGGCTGGTGAGTCTCATGACTTCATTGAGCTTCTAATCAGTCACTGAAGCATAGTTTGAGTGCAGTTGAAATGGAGACCATCCAACCAGTCTAGATTTTAAGTGATGGCATTGGTACATCCCACATAAGAATTTCCTTGTCAACACTATGACTGAGCTGAAACTTCATCTAAAATGCATGGCTGCCTCAGGCTGAATTTTTCTGGTGACTTGAGCTTGAGCAAAAAGGCTCCAGCTGTTATAAAGTCTACATGGCAAAAGAATGGCAGGGTTTTCAGTAGTTCAAACTAGACTGAATTTCCATTTTAAGGCAACTTCTAGGTTTGGTGGGTTTTGGGCTGCTTTGGCTGCTTGAGGTTAGGGTAACATTCTGAGCATGCCTGAACTTCAGGTTGCAAGAATCTTGTCTGGGTTTTCCTCCAGTTGCTGTAGAAGAGGAGTTGAACTAGAGGACTGGAGTCATTGATTCCCTATTCTCTTGCCGGGCCTTGCACAACTGGAAGGAAGGAAATACTTGATGATCCTGAGAGGCTGTGACTACTCCAGGGGGCTCCAGGCCCAAATCCTGCCTTTAGCACTGACCACCCCAACTTCTTTTTGGTGGAATAAATTGGTGCTCTCGTTGCATTGCTTTACAGATTACATAATTGACATAAAATAAATAAGCACACCTTCTCTTCCACCCTGCAATCTGTGGCCTTTTTGGAGCCCAGACAGTCACTGAACTCATCACTGTCTATTACTGATGTTCTGGTCAAACAGATGGGGCAGTACCTCAGTTGTGCCCCTCTAGCTATGCTGGTTTTAGTGTAGTCGCTTAAGCTGCACTAGTCTCATGGTTTGTTTTATTTGCAGAAAATGCTGGAAAAACTACGAGCCAAGAAGTCTTGGAAAGCAGTGTGACAGGCAGCAGACTTGAAGCAAAAGCCTCGCTATGGCATTGGTACAACCCAGACAATGTCTAATTGCAAAGTCATTAGGAATACTCAGCTTTAAGCTGTAGGAAAACAGTGATTAACCCAAAACCCCTGTACAACTCTCCTGTTTAGGGAAATCACTACAGAAGCAGATGGCCTGCTGCTTTCAACATGGTTTGTCTTGGAGTAGACGGGAATGAAAGGCCTTTCTAGATATGCATTTATGTTTTAAAGGGAGATACTAACTTTTGTAATATACTTGTATAAAACATTTTCAAATAAAGTTGCGTTTAGAACATGACTTGAATCATTTCAAGGCAAGACATTTCTTCTGTAAAGCTGGTTTTTTTATCAGTTCTTTGCACTATGTGATTTAAAAAGTGTGGGTTCCTGTACACATGCAGTACGTCTTTTAAGCACTTGACGAGAATAAAAATCTTACTGTTGCTACTTCCATATTTTTCTGTCCATGTTTGATGAACTCCATAGCTAAGTAGTTAAAGCACTAGGGCAAATTATAGCAAAAATTGTGCTTTTAAATTTGAACTTGGTTATCAGCAGGTGCAGTAGCAGAGATGTTTCATTAAATCTGATCAGGGTTAAAACGTACCAGTGAATCACAGAAGAGGTGGGGTTGGGACCTTTAAAGGTCATCTAGTCCAAGCCCCTGGCAATGATGAAGGTGCTATAAAGGTCTTCCTGGAGACTTCTGTTCTGCAGGCTGAACCCCAATTCTCTCAGCCTGTTTTAACAGGAGAGATGCTCCTATCCAGTGACTTTTATGGACTCCTCTGGACCTGTTCCACCAGAAATCTCAGCGTAGTTTTAGATGTACAATTAACTACACTGTACAGGTCCTTTCACTGATTTGAGTCTGGTGCAGTTGCATGTACTGGAGTAGCAAAACAATTGTTACCTCCTGCGTAAGTAAAAAGCCTAAGCCAGAATCAGTTTGTTATGCCATGGAGGTAAGTGGAGGCTGTTTGCAGTGCAAATAATGAGCAGTACAGCAGGTATATGGTCTCAGCTTCACCAGGGCAGTTCTGAAATATTCTAGCTCCTTTCTGAGAATATGATCAGAAGGGAAGAGACCAAGGCTCAGGAGATCAGCTGTGAGAATTTTCTCACCCTTCTTTGAAAGCAACAGTGTAGCAACAGGAAATAATCCCAGGCTGCAGCTCAGAGACAGTTTTATTTAAATGCTGTTACATTCTGTACAGAATAAATACCTATCCAGGGCTTCAGTACAGTGAGAATTCAGTGACAGGGAAGTTAGGGAAAACACCTGATCAAGCTATTTTCAGTCAAATTACAACACAATACACTCAGCTGGGTCTTCTCTAACATCACACACAGGCACCTTCATATCTCACAGGAGGGCAAGAGGCAAGTCACAATATGCACTACTTTTAATGCCAAATAACTGCAATAAACACTTTAGGTAAGATCTTTCTCCATTTGGAACAGCTGTGTAGCTCACTGCAGCAGACTTTCAGCAGTATCACCAGAGCCTGAGAGAGAAAAAAAAAATCTATTAGCACTTTTACTCCAAAAAAAAGCCATTTTCCCACTATCCAATCTAAATCTCCCCTGGCACAACTTGAGGCCATTTCTTCTCATCCCACAGCTTCTTAATTGGCTGACCTCCACCACACTACAGGTAAGAGCAAGAAGGTCCTCCCTGAACCACTTCCTTCTCCAGCCTCAACATCTCCAGCTCCCTCAGCTGCTCCAAAATGAACTCGTGCTCTAGACCCTTCAGCAGCTCAGTTGCCCTCTTGACACACAAGCAGCAACTGGGCTACAAGACTGCTCATACCACAACCCTTTTGTTCTCCAGCTTTAACTTTCCATGCTACAAATGTCAGCTGGTTTCAGAATGAAACAGAGCAGCCTTTCCTCTACATCAGCATCACAAAAACCCAAGGGCAGAAGATTAACATCCTTTTTCACCTCAAAAGGCTTAAGGACATAAGGTGTATCTCCTCATAAATAGACCATAGCACACACTACGTGTCCACGGCATCCTGCAGAGGATTTCAATTTACGGTCACCGCGTTAAGAGCTGCTGGTTTTTCAGCCATGCAAACCCTCTTTGAAGTGACCTTGAATCTCTTTGGTAAGTGCTCTTACCTTCACACTCACTTTGGTAGTGCTCAGGTGGAGTTTCTCATCCCTCTGACATGCAGCAACTTGGTAGCAGACACTGGAAGTTAAAAAGTCAGGTTTGGTTAGTGTAAGGGAAGAGTTAACAACACACAAGTTGGATATAAATTGCATGGAGCAGCCTTGTCTCCCTTTTTTCCTTCTGTTCAAAAGCACCACCTTCTCAATAGCAGCTCTGGAGTCCAATCTACAAAGGTTCCAGCTAGAACTTTGGAGGCACCCAAGGATACCAACTACATACCTACACCTCAGCAGCAACTTCCTCCTAGCAGCAAAGGGAGCATTGTGTCTGTGACCTACATTGAAGCTTTATTCCCAGCAGCCTTGGTGCCACATCGTATGGCAATACAAGAGTCTGATGGACTTGCTTTACGGTCATGTCCACAGCTCACCAGAAACAGTAACATCCCAGCAGCCTTGGTAATGACCAGACACTCCTCTCACTGCCCATACCAGGACTTCACTCTGCCCATCCCTTCCAGTGATGGACCAATTAATCCTGCCAACATTAAAGCCAAGTTGTGTACTAACAAGCCTATAATCTTTTAAAAATCTTAAAGTACAGAGGAGATGTACTTGATTCCTCACAACCAACAGCAGTCTCAGACACTAGTACTACAAACCACTGCACAACTGTGACAGCCATTATATACACACACAGGAATGACTCGCAGACGAGTGACCTGCTCAGATACTGCCAAATTCTGGAGTGATCACCATCCAGTAATCTCTGCTACCAGACAACCATTTTTATACTTCTTTCTAAAACAGTTTACTGAAGTTTAAATGTCCTAGAATCATACTAATTTAGCACACAAACTGCATAGTGTGAGAGTAGTAACTCACTGCTTACCCATAAAACAGGTTGCTTTTATCTTCCACAGCTCATCTTTTTAATACAGGGAGGTTCAGTTTGTTCAGTATCCTAAAGCACCTGTTAGAAAGAAGAAACTGAATGCACTTGCTGAGTTCCAGAGGCCAATACTCAGCTCTCACACTGGAACATGAAAATAGAAAGCAAGTACACTCAACTCACTGAAGAGGTCAAAGACTGTTTCAGAAAAAACAGCAGGTTTAACAGACACAGCTGAATGAAAACCAGTGATGCCAAACACTGCACTGCTGTAGCACAGCTTTTTGAACACCTCATCAGGAGAATGCAGCTGGGTGAAAGTTCATACACAGCAACAGCTGCAGTTCTCCATCCATGAACAGCTCATTTTAACATTCAGCCTTCTTCCATGCACCAGTTAGTGTCTGGGAATAAGAGATACTTGTAATTTCACAAAAGCTGCCATGCAACTGGAGAGGGAAAACAGACTCTATGAATTTCACCTAATGCTCCTTTCACCTGAACAGCAGCTGCTCAGTGTGAAACTGTGGAGCATCTCTTTGACACAAAACACAAACGCAGTAAGTTACTTCAAGACAGACACCACAGTGCTGTCTCTTCTTGCCTACAGCCACCACAAGAATAATTACTCCATGACTGAAGGGGGAATTGACTGTTTCAAGCCATCCAGAACATTTAAGCAGCAAAAAATAGTGTTAAAAGTCAGGTATCTACACTAAAACCTAGGTGAAGAATAAGTTCAGCCTGTGTGTAATTTAGTACGTTAGTTGCACCTGAAGTCCCAGAACACTGTATTTTGACTCTTACCAAGCTTTTCCACTTGAATAATTTGTTTCATTTCTATCAAAGCATGTCATAGTATACCTAAAGGAGAATATGGTGCATTATTACAGTTCCTAGGATGCTACATGAAGATGTCTTGCAGTTTTATCCCACAGAGCTAACAGGTAGTTCAATGGGTAAAGCGAAACCACAAGTTTATTCTGTGAGGCGTTTCCAACGACATGAACCTACAGAGAAGATCCTATCGGGATAGACCTCACCATTCCTTGTACTATATATTAACATGACAGATAAAAATCAAGCAGATTGGAAATATATCTGGTATATATCCCATTAAGTGTCTTTTTTAAGTTGTTTCAAGATATTTTGGGGAAGAAGGAGAGTAAATGATTTCAACAGCTGGCACCTGGAGAAGATGAAGTAACTCCCTCATATTAGCAACAGTTTTAACACTAATAGTTAGTTATCTGAAAAGCAAACATCAAAGGCAGTTAACTACAAATATGTACAGAATCCTCCCTATAAATTTACTGTGAAGTGCAACTCACTTGTCCAAGCAAAACTGTCAGTTTAAGCAGTTAACCTGATTACCTCCTTTCTGAATGAGAAATTTGTATGAATGCTTTTTAGGCAAACCAAAGTTACAATAAATTGTTCCCCTAAGAGAGTGAATGCTACAGCAATGCAGTGTTGAAACCAGTTCCTGAAACCCTCACAAAACAGTAAACTAGGTTTGATAGGACTTCCAGCCACCAGAGTCCTTCAGTCATTAAGGTATATGCAAAACTTCAGATGTCATACTAACCCTAGACAGAGCTTCAGACTGCTGTGAAATGGCATCCTGCATTTCTTCTGTTATTTTCTCTAAATACATGCCTCCTGAAAAAGCAAAGTGATGTTACAAACCAGCATGATGTTCCTACAAATCAGCAGAACCTACAACAGCACTTAGTACTTAAGTGGTTCTAACCACCACAAGCATTACTGAGAGTCTCTATTTGGAATCACATTTCAAGCAACTATAGTGTCTGAATATTATGCTGTTTGACAGCTCCTTTTAATTTCGTGTTTATTTTTAAAACAAAGTCACAGTCATGATCTTTCCTCACTGAGACAAGACACTTTCATGTAAAAATAAAGTGACGTGAAGAGGACATTCATGTAGTAATTTGTTCAGAAAGGCCATTCTCACTCACTCTCTTCAGAGCAGTTGAACATTTTGCCAATCATCACAACAATTTTCTCACAGCATTCTCAAGTTTGGGGTTAGATAAACTCATATTTTCTAAAACACTGCATTTTCTCAGTAAGAAAAGAACAGCACTACAACCAGCTTACCAAGTGAAAGACAGACAGACAGCTGACCTGCAACAGGCGAGTGTTAAAAACCAGTCACACACACTTACCAAGACGGTAGTTCAGACTGGACTATCACATGGACTTCCTAAAACAAAGTAAATTGTTGCATCTGATCAATATGGCCAAGATTCTTCAGTATTTCAGTAATTTATTAGGACTTGGGTACTCTTATACTCAATATGAAGCAGGTAGACTGTGGTCCAGTTACACTGCCTGAACGCTAATGACAAAACAAAGCATTTCAATTGAAATCAAAGCCATGGTCCAGAATACCACACAACTACCAACAAGGTCTATCTGCAATTTAAGAAACTGGAGCACTATGGCACAGAAGGTACAACTAAGGGAGTTACCTCACAAAGAAAACACATACACCATTTTAAGACAGCTTAAAAATACGCTCTAATAAACCACGTACAAGAATTCTTCACTGCAAGTATTTTTCCTCTACCCGCTAATTCTACTTGCTTTAGTAGGTAGGATGCAGAATTCAAGCACATCGAAACAAGCGAATTGTTAGATTTTACAGTAGCTGGATTAAGTATGTTTGCAGAATTGTCCCACAAAGTAAACTGTTACAGGTCTCATTGTCACCACTGCAATTAACTTTACAGTGAGGAAAGCATAACCTGTCACTCTTCTAGCCACGTTTTTCAATTCAGACACACGGCAAGTTGTGCCTATTTGCTGAAGAACGAGGCATAACAACTCCACAATGCCTGTGGAATAGACCGTTTCTTAAGCCTAGCCAGTTAACTTCGAAAGAAACCTGTTTAGTGGTCACCTGCTACTCGGATTTATGTCTCAAAATAAAATGCCTCTTTTTTTTTCTTCAGAAAAAGGCAGCCAAAAACCTAAGACTTCAGCTTTTATGATCCTTGTCCAACTACCTCTACCAAGGAAAAAGCCAACTATTTCCTTAATACTTACGCTTAAGTAGAGGCCTTCCACTGCATTCCAGACATCACAGGAATGCCCCTTAAAGAAGAAATAGTTTGGAACAATGTCACTTATTTAACTATACGTTCATCTCGTAACAGTTTAACAGTTTTTGAATGTATTCGACAAGCCTCCCAGTTTGGAAACACTAAACCTACTTGTTTCAACAGAAATACCAAGTTTAACAAGCACATATGCATGAAAACCAACGATGCCAGCTGTTGAAATACTGTAGCACTGCTTTTTGAACACTCCATCAGGAAGACACTGCTGGGTGCAGATACCATACAGTGCACAAATTAGTGTGATTAACTTGCTGTGGAAACAGCATGTCTGAAGAAGTCCAATACTCTTACGCTGAAGCTCAAATGAAATTCAAAGCTTACCTCTTTCATTCCTGCGTTGAACAGAAATTCACTGAACTGACAGATTTGTTAATCAGTGGGCTAGCAAACAGCCATAATAAATCAAATGCTCCCCAAAAAATTAAATCTGCCCACTGCTGCAGCATTGGTGTTCTCATCTGCAAAGAAAGAGATACAACTGAGCTACCTACGCGTCTACAAATCTGGAACATTAAACTCATGCCTGAGATTGATCAGTGGAGTTCATGCAAATATTGTCCCTTCATATAAGTAACACAACTAATATGTTTATCAGCTGTGGGTTGCAAAAGAAGGGTTTTTTCTAAGCACTAGGTTCCAGGTTTTTGTCTACAGCAACAGACAAAACCTGATCAAGTGCTAGAACAGACTGAATGCATTCATCTTTTACTATCTTTGAAACAGCACTTGAAGCTATTTCCCAATTCACTGTATACTTACTGTTAAAAAACTGTCACCTTCCACTACTACTGTGTTTTCTCATTCTAGAGACAGGCAGGTTGAACCAAAAAGTAACTGTGGCAAGAAGTTCAGCATCAGACATGCCATCCTAAGAAGAATCTATGCTGTGTTAAACAGCGCAGTACTCCTAACTACATCACTTGCAAGTAAGATGCCCTGTTCCTATCCTCTTACTAAAGAATGTTCTTGTAAGGTTTCATTACTTGATCACCTTTAGCTCAGCGCTTCCCATGTTACAGGTGTTTTCCTATGCAGTAACCTTACATGGTGGTTTCTTCCATGCTATTTCCTACACTGTCCTGAAGCCACACAAACTTGATAACATCCTACCGTGAGAAGCTTTCACAGCTATGTACATCAAGACTACCAGCTCCTCTCTGCTGTCCCTCCTGTTCTTGCATGGGACATGATTTAAGATGGAATTTTACCACAGGGGAGCCATCAGAAGCTGCAGCTGTATGATATGCCCTGGTACAGAAAGTGTGCGTGAGGCACCACGATGATACTAAGTGTACAGTAGTTCCTCAACATCTTCAGCAGAGAAAAATCGCAGGTAGTATTGTCCAAAGCAGACAAAGTTGCCCTGCAGCATGCAACATCAGGTAAAAACAAAGTATTTCAATACAAAACTTCTAACAAAAACCACACTTAACAGATATTCAAGAACTCAAGTTTTTGTTTTCATTCGAAGAGGCTATAAACTAATTATGGTCAGACTGGTGAAAGAGATGTGGGACTGAACTCTACACCTTGGAACCTTCACACACAAAAGCTGCACAGCTGTGAAGCACTGTAATGCATCCACTTTAACTATAGAGCACTGTTTTTTCAAAACCTCTTGTGAAGTACAGCAAAAAAAGCTACCTGAAGGAAACAAAACTGAAACCAACAGCTTACCTCGTGCAGCAAGAAAACTGAGTGGTATTTCATCCTCCAAAAGCAATATAAACTAGAAGAAAAAGCAAAGTAATAAGAACTGTCATATATGGTCAAGTCAAGTTAAAGGTAGGTTTCAGGAATCAATGTAACAGTTGTAATAAGTTGATTTGCACATGTACTTATCCAGTTCTAATCACAATTGAAATTTAGTTCATTTCTGAGTCACTCAGCAGTTGAACAACAAAATTCATCACATGAACTGCAGAATGAGCAGGACTCCACATACCCCCTTCACTATGCCTCACCAAGCAAGAACCCCACTTCTAGATCCAGGATGAGTCTCTTTCAAGCCATTGAGTATTTCTCAGGTAGGTGCCTAAAAGAGTTACATCTGGCCATTAATTCTGGACTATTATTAAATGCGATCTTCAAATAATGAAGACTAATTTTTCAGTCCTAGAACTACCAAGTTGTAATTGGGAAACTTCCTTCACAAAGGTTTGGTACCTTAGTTCAAGCATGTAAATAATGCAGCTTGACTTGCTCTCAATACTGAGCACCTACTGCCAATCACCTCAGACTGCCATTAAACTAGTAGATAAAACCTTTCCTGGACAACATCCTTGTTCAGCACAGACTACTTCTACCTGCTGAACAGCTGTTAGTTGCTTACAGCAATTTGGTTAAGAGCATCTGAGACAGGCAGATGACTGTTTGGTCTCTAAATCTTGTCCATTGACAAGGAAACTTTTTAAACTTTTTTTTTTTTATATTTTCAGCTACCATGACACACAGTAGGACTTGGCTGTATTCAGACCATTTCAAAACACTTACTGGTCAGGTTTCCTACTGACTAAAACACCTTAGAGAAAGTTATTTTCTGCTGGGGCAATGCCTGTTAAGAACTGTCATTATGAAGAGCTTCTATCTTCTGCTAAGTCATGCTCACATCAGAACCCATTCTGGATAGCAGAGGGCAAGAGGGGAAAAAGAATTTTTAACCCAAGATTCACTACGCTGCTACAGTTATTTTTAAGATAACTTACAAATTCAGATTATTGTATTAGATTCAGGAGCAGAGAATTAGTTTTCTGAAAAGTTATTCCACATGGAATAGACAACCTCAATCATACAAACTCGATTTTATGATTATTTGAATGCATTAACCATATTTTGCAATAGACTTCTGTTGAAGTTGACCAACCACTTCTGCATTTTTGTTGTTGGTACTTATTTGCATTAAGCTTCAATTCTGTCTTGAGCCTCTCAACTCTAAGTATTTCAAATCTGCACCTCTAAGCCACAGACCATTCACAAAGTAGTCAGCTATGAAAACTGAAGAAAGGCATTTAAACTGCCCTTTTAACTTGAGCATACAGGTGTATGCATGCAACTTCATACTATTCTATACTGTGCTGCTGCTATGTTACGGTATTTGGACCTTGTTTCCCTGTTTAATTACATAAATTCTATGATCCACTGGTTAACAGAGGTCAAGTTGCAGAAGCCAGAACTTCAGCAAGATTATCAGCCATTGAACCAAGGATATTATAATCCTGATAGAGAATAGCACAGAACATACTTGAAAGCTTAACAAAACAACAGATTATACTTGCTTTGTAACTGTGTCAGACACAAGCCCAATATACTCACATTACACCAGATGTGACTGGGTAGCTTGGTGGATAGCTCAACATTGACTTCAGACCAATGCTTTAAACGAAGCAGGCCATGAAAAACGACCACTGACACCTCGTTTGTCCCATCTGCTGTTCACAGAGGTGAACCTGGCACAGGCAAGGAGTTCTCCTCAGCACTGTCTTCATCATCCTTTATTTCAATCACTTCAGTTGATTTTGCACGTTTTGTTTCTGGCTTTGATTTTTTCTTATTGGGAATTGTGCTGCTTATAATGAAAGAGCTGTTCTCCTAAGAAAATGGAAGACAAGTTGGGTTTTGAGATTCTTAAAATACAAGTAAATAGTAGTAAATCTGCAAACTTCAGTAACTCTTGAGAGAATTGCAGAATTCCTATACGTTCCAGCATGTTATTTAAGAGGTGAGTGTGGACTCTCAAAATAATCTCCTTCTCCATTACAGGCTGAGATTCACGGGTATCACACAGTTAGCTCGGGATCTAAGCTCAAGAACTAAGTATTGAAAACGTTATTATCTACTAATTCCTTAGGTTTAGCAGAGAAAGGTTAGAGAGTTTCTGAAGTTAAGTAATACTTACCACTACTCTGGCATCATATTGCTCTTTATTATCAGAATTCAAGCTGTCCTCATCATCACTGAAATATAAAAAATTCAAATCAAACTCTGTACTTTAATAGTAGCTCAAAATGTGTGAACTGTTTTCCTACTACAAGCCCTGTTTTCTCTTAATGTCTTCTAAAGTGCTACAGCTTGTAGGTTTAAGATATTTCTACATAAGGTCATTCTCAAATTATAGTTTTTGACAGCAGAATGACATCCTAACTAGTAGCAGGATAGAAGGAGTGCTTAGGAGCAGAACAAAGATTTAGTAGCAGATATCATGAGCAGTATTAAGATAATTTGAATTACACTGCCAAACAGGCTAGAAAGCCAGCAAGTTGGAAAGGAAGCAGAATATAATCACAAGCAAGAACGTAAGAGCATAAGCCTCAGCTAACAAGGGTACACAGCTTTCTTCCCAATAACTGAAAAGTTTCTCCATAGTGCCATGAAACACCAGTTATGAACTTAATTCCACTCTCATCCACAGATTTTCTCTGAAGATAGAAAGGACTCCCCAAAAAGAGGTGAAATCATTATAGTACTGTGGTTTCTGTAAGAGGCGCAGGGAGGACTGGTTCCAAAACCTAGAAAGCATTCTAGTACTCATTTCATATAAATAATTGAGTATCTGGATAAGCTGGCTTTTATTCTACAGAGCTTTGTTTCTTCTACTTTTTTGTAAGAAAGCAAACAAATTATTATTACTCATTCTACAGGCTCACCCTAACACTTTGACTCACACTAATTAGCAGTATGAAGTGACTGCTAAAATGAGCTTTGTATCTTTGCACTGCCTTTTAAACTTTTTAGTTTTACAGTGTTGAGTATATTTACAACATAATTATTCTTGCTGATTTCCTGAATTTTTTTATTGCACTAAGGTAACTGCTTGACCATAAAGACCTAAAATGACACTTCAATATTTAATAATGTAAAAAGGAAATTAAAAATTATTCTTTAGTCTTTGGTACAGAACACTCCCATTTATTTGAGGTAACTATTGAGGAATTAATTTCAGGAAAGACTTTTTTAAAATTTATACCACATCATTTTAATCAGACAGTACAAGTCACCATTACAGTCATCAGTCTCCAGATCAGATGAGAAGTATTTCCTTCTATGAGAACTTCCAAGTCACATTTACAAACACAGAACCCCAAGTGGTAGTGTTTTGTTCCCAAAACAATGCTTTCATAGGTTAAAACGACAGGAAAAGAACTGAATTTGATACACCTACAACTCTGTCACAAAAATCACATGCTACTACAAGCAACTGTACTACCTCCTGAATTCCTGAACTGTGAAGAGGGGCAGACTGTACTGGCCTGGAGTCAGTCAGCTCTCTTCACAGCACCCTGTGCCATGCTTTTTTTGGATTTGTGACCAAGTGTTGAAGCCCTACCCATACCAGCAAACAGGCTGGGGGCGGTGTGGGGTGTCATGCACCTCCCTGTACACACACATTTATATTTTAGTTAAAAATAAAAGTTTTATAACATCAAAAAATATAAAGATCAACTTACTTTGTCTCCTGAATAGGAGAAATGGGGCCTTCATCATCTAGGTATTTGTGCTTCCGTAACACCACACATTCTTTTTCTAAGTCTTCACCAGCCTGAAGGGCTTTTAAAGCTTTTTTAAGATGTTCTTCATACTTAAGCACCTCAATGTACTTGAAATATCCCTTTGCAGCTGCTTGCTGAAAACAAAAATTTATCAGGTAAGATCTTATAAACACCACTAAAAGCATTTATATTATGAACCGAATTTGTAATATTACATTGACACCCATATATGTTCTTTCTCTGTTTGCCTTAAAGGGTATTTGACAACATCAGATGTCCTGTTTAAGAGAAGTAAAACCTGTTTAATTGTTCTATTCAAGCACATCAGGTAGAAGCACAACAAAGCCAACTTACTAAAATAGTAATGCTTATCTCACAAATCAGAAGACTTACCTCATAGCCAAGAACCATCTTTAAGGGAATATGTTTCTCCCCATAATGTTTTTCGACAAAAGGGAACTGAAAACCTCTGTCCAGCAGCCTCCTCTTTTGCTCCTGAGGTGAGGCTGTCAGTGGTGGCCTCCCTGTGGGCATCCTTGTGCCCTCACATTTTTTCTTTTTCTTCCTTTTCTTCCCTGAGCCAGCTTTGTTGTATTTTCGGTGTGCAGCGGCTTTAAACTTCTTTCCCCTGAAGTGATAGGCAAAAATGGCTTTCAAATTGAGTTTTGACTTCTGCTGCTTGGAAACTTCCGATGATTTCATTGGACTTTGGGGAGATAGAGAAGAATCTGACGAGCTTTCATTGTCAGGCACTTCTGCAACAGATTCAGCTTGTTGCTTTGAAGATTGACACCTCCTTTTTTGCTTTGAAGGTGCAATGGAGCACCCAGGTCGGCACTCACTGCCACGAGCACCAGAGACATCACTGAAGAAGAAAAGAGTATTTACTTTCAAAAGAATGATTACTTCTATGATATCTGACACAGGTTCTTCACAGTAAAAAATTCTAAACTAGAGGTAAAAACTTACATTTCTGAATCGCTGCTGATAAGTAAAACCTCAGCTGAAGCAGCTGATGATTCACATGTACTGTTAAGATGATTCGAAGACTCCCCAGGAGCAGCATTCTTCTGCCTTAACTGTGAACACTCCTTTCTTGTATTTGTCTGCCATGCATACTCCTTGGATGGCTGCTGATGACCATGTATCAGCTCTTGGACACCGTGGTAATCAGAGCCAGAAGCCTGAGCCTCATCTCGATCAGTCATGTTTCAGTTTGCCCTAAAAATCAATGAGAGTTAAAGAAAATAAAGAAATATGTATGTTAATGAGGCAACAAGCTTTCCACTACTCCAGTCTCACAGGGTAAATTTAAAAGACCAATGCTGAGCAAACTTCAACATAGATTTTCCTTTGAACCAGGAGCAAATACATTAAAGAGTAACAGTTAAGTCACAGACACTTATTTCAGGATATTTATAGCGTTTAGGTTACAAAGAATTTTTACAGCTCTTTTGGTCACCAGTGGAGTTTCCCAGGGCTCAAGACTGAGGATCAAGTGCACCCTAAGTCAGTTTGCAGATGACACCAAACTGGGCAGGAAGGATCTCAAAGGATCTAGACAGGCTGCCATCTATGGGCTGAGGCCAACTATATGAGGTTCAACAAGGCTAAGTGTTGGGTCCTTATTTTGGGTCACAACAACCCTAGGCAGTGCTGGAAAACTGCCCCACAGAAAAGGACCTAGGGGTGCTGGTCAACAGCAGCTGAACATGAGCCAGCAGTGTGCCCAGGTGGCCAATGGCATCCTGGCCTGTATCAGCAACAGTGTAGCCAGCAGGACCAGGGCAGTGATTGTCTCATGGTATTTGGCAGTGGCAAAGCTGCACCTTGAATCCTGTGTCCAGTTCTGTGCCCCTCACTGCAAGACAGACACTGAGATGCTAGTGTGCGTCCAGAGAAGGGCAACAGAGCTGAAGGATCTGAAGCACAAGTCTTATGAGGAGCAGCTGAAGGAGCTGGGGATGTTAGCCTGGAGAAAAGGAGGCTTGGGGAGACCTTCTCACTCTCTACAACTGCCTGAAAGTGCAGGAGGCTGCAGCCAGGTGAGAGTCAGTCTAGAGAAATTGGCATCAGGTTGCACTGGGGAGGTTTATATCATTGGAACAGGCTAACCAGGGAAGTGACTGAGTCACCATCCCCAAAGTGGGATGGCGTAAACATACGTGTGTAAATCCAGTGCTTTGAAACTATGGTTTTGTGCTGGACTCGTCAATACTAGGTAAATGCCTAGATGATTTTAAACACCTTTTCAAACCTAAACGACTCTTTAATGCTATGAAAGGTAATTTTGGACAGCAACCTACACCTATGCCCCATCCACACTATGCCTTATGAGGGCATACTGCTAACAGGGGTTCAACCAAGGCCTGACAAACACAACAGAGAGACAGATCAGCCCAGTACCAGAGCCAGGACACAGGCAGCAATGTCACTCTGACCACACAGGCTGTGGCTGGTACTCACAGATCGCAGCTCAGTATCCTTTGCGGCCTCTCCTGCAGCTCCGTCCTGGACAGCTGGCAGAGCACGCAGAGCCCCTAGGGAGAAAAACAACCAACATCTAAACTTGCTGACTATTTCACAGAGTCATAGTATCTCCTCCCAGAAGAACCTCAGGCTGAAAGGCGCCAGGCACACCGCTCGGCCGCCGGCATCGCGCCAGGGTCGGGGCTGGGGGAAGGCATTTTGAATGCGGGCCCCCACCAGGTCGCCACGGCCGAGGACGCCCCGCGGCCCCTTGCACACTGCCGCCACACGCCTCAGTTCTCGGGGGACGGCTCAACACCGCCGGGACTGTGACCCCGCCCCCGGTTCCCTCGGTGCCCGGGTCCCCGCACCGCGGATGGCGGCGGATGCGCCGCGCCACAACCTACCTCCCGCTCCGCCACTGCCCCACCGCAAAGGGCGCGAAATGGCCGCCCCGCGGCTTAAATAGCGCCAGGAGCTCGCGAGAGGCGCGCGGGCCGACGGGAGGGAGGAGGGAAGCGAAGCGAAGCGAAGCGAAGGAGGGAGGGGCGAAGGGAGGGAGGGAGGGGCGAAGGGAGGGAGGGAGGGGCGAAGGGAGGGA